CCCCCCCCCTCCCGCCGCCCCGCTCCACCACACCTCTCTGCTCCTGTGCTCGCGTTGTACCATCGTCACCACCCCGCGCCTCCTTAGCACCCACCCTCGCCACCCTCCCTCCGCCCTCTCCCGTGCTGCCCCCCCCTCCCCTCTCCCTCCCCTCTCCCTCGTCCATCCCGCACGATGCGGCCCGTCGAGAATGCCCACGCTGGTCTCGTCGGAGCGGGCATGCTGTCGATACCGGCCGGCACCTTGACCTCCCTGGCGGCCAGCATTGCCAGCGTCGCCACCAGTGCCAGCGGCAGCGCCTCCGGACCCAAAGACTATGCCCCTCCCGGCTTCGACTCGTCCGTCATCACCCAGTTCCATCCGGTGGAGATTGCCTGCACGGTCACCCTCACGGCCATGGTCCTTTTTGTCGGCATCGTCGTCGGCTATGTCTGGTGGTTCCGGACTTGGCCGCCCTTCAAAACCAAGCAGCTCAACTGGGTCCTCATCATGTACTTTGGTGCGTGTTCCCCGCCCTATCCCGGTTGTTTCTCCTCCCTTACCGGCGTTGTCTCCAGCTGAGGCTCCCTCCCTTTGTCCTCCTCTCTCTCTCTCTCTATCTCCCCCGCTCAATCCCACTGCCCCGTCCATCCATCCATCCGGCCCCCCTGGCTGACCATTCTCATGCTCGTGTCCCTTGCCATCTCCCATCAGCCACGGTCCTCTTTTCCTACGGGCATCTGGTACATACCTGTCTCGCACTTTGCTCCCCCCCCCTCCCTCACGGCCTGTCCTTCCCAGGGTTTGTCCCCTATGCCGGGCCTTGGCCCGGTTATGGTTCATCATCAAGTAGCCAGCCTCCTAACACGGTGCTCCCGCATTCCGCCTCTCCTCCATGTGCCTAGTTTGCCATGCGCGTCCTCCCCATTCCCCCAGACTTTCCGGTCTGCGTGCTGATCACCTGTGCGTGCCACAGCCCATTGCCACGCCAGCTGGAGCCATTCTCTCCGCCCCTCCCACCGCTCCCCTTCCGCCGCCGCCGCCGCCGCCGCCGCCGCCTCCTCCTCCTCCTTCTCCCCCTTCTCACGCATATCCATGCGCCCTCTTCTCCCCGCTCCCCTGCCTTCCCGTGGCCAGACTGGCTCCAGTGCTTCTTCGGCATTATCATGATGCTCGCAGGCCTCCTAGTCCGGATCTGGCGTGTACGTTTCCCCCCCCCCCCTTCTCACACC